TAACAGTCTTTAGAAAAAAATTTGGTTAGAATTGTTTATGGAGTTGCCTGGATTGAACAGGGGGAAGGGGGCAAAAATTTTAGGGCTTTTTTGTTTCTAAGTTCCAATCATCGCAATTTTTAGCAAAACATCCTTATTTGACAAAAGTAAAAACAAATAAGTGTTTGGAATTTTCAAAAAGACCAAAAATGCTGAATCCAACTCTCTTACGTTAAATATACTTTGGCCTGAGACCAAAGATGTTATTCAATGCTTAAGGAAAAAATAGAAAGAAAATCTAAGGAGTGGGAAATTCTCTTTTAACAAAAATCTTCCAAAATTTGAAAAAAAGTACTTAGAAAATCGTAAAGAAGCAAAGCATGAATATAATCCCATTAGAAGCTATGCAGACCAAACATGTGCGTGTAATCTGTATATTTTTGTTTTTTTTCATCATCTGTAGTCTTTTTGCTTTTTTCTAGAAAAAGGGAAGGAGAAAAAAACTCTTATTTAAAATACCTCCTTTTAATATGCCTATTTTTTATGTCTTGGGCTAGTTTTTGTAAATTGTTTTATTCTTATGTGTTTTAAATAATTATTATAAAGTTTTCGTTTTTTCTTTGATAATTTAAGTAAACAATTTGTCATCCAGGGGTTCACAAGAGACTTGTAAACCTCCTAGGTGGTTTTATAATTATTTTGTTACAGAAAATAATCTGTCTTACTATTTACAAAATTGCGTTCAACATTGTTCAAAAGCATTATCTAATTCGTGATACAGTTAAATAAAATTCCAATTAACTTTTTCTGGTAACTTAGTAGGAAATTACAAAAGAGCTTTTATAAACCTGTTACGTTAAAATGGTAGATTTTATAGGATAATTAATCAGAGTTATTATAAACAACTTTAATTAATTCCAAGGCGTATGATATAGTGGATCACAAAATACTTGTAATTAAAACTTATGGTATAAAAAATATATCAAATAGATGGATAGCAGACTATCTAAGGAAACGTGCAGAATCCATATATTGAGGAGTGCCCCACTATGGTCTTTTTTTAACTTTTTAATCACAGAAAAAGATTTACTTCAAATATGCGTACAAAGAGATGAGTTGGAAAAATTTTAATATTGTTTAAAGCAAACAAACTTTCTATTAATTCTAAATAAAAAATTTCCAATAATCCAACCTTTAAATAAAACAAAAAGAATTTTAACTTTTTTTTACAAAATTCTTGAAAACACAGCAGTTTGTGGCGAAAAGAGTGACAAAATTTCTTTTTGTTCTCATCGACGAAAATATAACCTGGAATAAACATATTGCCTATGTTGACAAATAAATACCGAAAAGTATTAGAATTCTATACCAATCAAGAAATCTACTAAATAAACATTATCTAAAACGGATCAGTTTTGTACAAAGTTACTTAAATTACGTAAATATCGTCTAGAGTAGTACTTCTAAAGGCAAACTAAAACCAATGCTTAACGAATAATGAATTTTAAAAATAAAAAAAACACGCGCAAAACTACTTTTTGAAAGTAAAGTTTTTGTTTTTATTTTATTACTTTAGGTGCCCCAAGAAGTCTTTACAGTCTTATCACAGAGCACCGCGGATGAGCATTCAATAGGAAGTTCACGCCTCCTTCCTAACCGATGTCGCAAAACTGGTCCAGAGTAGGGTTTGAACCACGGATCCTTTGTTTCGGAGACAATTCTTTACCTACTGCTCTGATTTTGGGTAAACAATTTGGGGAAAATACTTTTTACTATTAATATGTTTTGTTTTAGATAGAGTTTGTTGTCACAACACTAGACAATATACAAAAGCACAAATAATTGATCAACTTACTTCTTGATCTTTGCGTGAATGAAACAGATTGTGAGTCGTTATGCATTGAAATAATAAATAAAAAGGATAAAAACATTTTCGTAAACTCTATATATAGACAACCAGCTGGAAACTTAAAAAATTTTAAAGCTCACATTAAAAATTTTCTAACCCAAACCAGTAAAAACCAGAAACATGTATACTTAGTTGGAGATTTTAACATAAACATTATAAATTATGCATCAAAAAATGATGCTAAATGCTTTATTGACACTAATTTGCAATATAATTTTATTCCAACAATAAATAAGGCAACAAGAATAACAAAGACATCTTCAACATTAGTTGACAACTTAATAACAAACAATTTTCACAAATCCTGCATAAGAACAGGCATAATTAAAACCGACATAAGTGATCATTTTCCTATCTTTCTAACCACTAAAAACATAACATTAAAAAGCAATTCCATAAAATCAAAAATATTGGTATGTCAAATTAATGAAAACTCCTTAGTACGATTTCGCCATCTATTAAAAAATTCTGTTGATTGGAACTTAGTGTATGAAACACAAAATGCAAATAATTCTTATGAATTATTCCTCACGTCTTTTAGTAAACAATATAATAAGGCATTTCCTTTATTCGAAAAAAATTTAAATTCTAAGTCTATTTTAAATCCGTGGATGACAAAAGGTTTAATCAAATCTTCAAAGAAAAAACAAAAACTATATGAAAAATATCTACGACATAAAACATATCACAATGAAATAATATACAAAAACTACAAAAATTTGTTTGAAAAAACCAAAAAATTTTCAAAAAAATCTTATTATGAAAAGCTATTGGAAAAAAATAATGGAAATACAAAAAAAACTTGGAATATAATAAAAGAAATAATTGGCAAAAATATTTCGATTAAAAACAATTTGCCACAAAAACTGTTAATTGATGAAAAAGTTGTTTATGATAAAGAAACCATAGCTGAAAAGCTAAACAGTTTTTTTCTTGAGATTGGTCCAAATCTGGCGGCTAAAATTCCATCTAGTACCATAAAATTTGAAACATACCTCAAAACAGCAAATAATGTTATGACAGAACTAAATTTAAATATAAGTGAGTTGCATAATGCCTTTTGCTCTCTGAAAAATAACAAAAGTGCAGGCATAGATAAAATTAGCGTCAATGTAGTTAAATCAGTCTTTGATATTATTGAACCCTTATTGTTTCACATTTTTAATCTCTCATTAACGTCTGGTATTGTACCAGACAAACTTAAAATAGCCAAAATCACACCGATTTTTAAGTCAGGTGAAAAAACAAATGTTTCAAACTATAGACTTATTTCTGTATTACCTTGTTTCTCTAAATTGCTAGAACGCATTATGTACAATAGGCTTTATAATCATCTAGTATCAAATAATATTCTGTACAACAAACAATTTGGGTTTAAAAAAAATCATTCTACGGATCACGCGGTAATTGAGCTTGTAAACCATATATCGGATGCTTTTGATAAAGATTATTTTGTCTTAGGAGTTTTCATTGATTTATCCAAAGCATTTGACACTGTCAATCATGAAATCCTTATAAAAAAATTAAAGCTTTATGGAGTAAACAACTTAAACTTACTTTGGTTTAAAAACTACTTGACTAACAGAAAACAATGCATAACCTATGAAACAAATGAAACCAAAAAAAAGCTTATAAATTGCGGGGTTCCTCAAGGATCTATCTTAGGACCATTATTGTTTCTAGTATATATAAACGACTTATTTTTAGCATCTAAAAAATTATATCTTATATTGTTTGCTGACGATTCCAATCTGTTTTATTCACACAGAGATATAAAAATTCTCTTTAAAATTTTTAATGAAGAATTATCTAAAGTAAATGAATGGTTTATAAGTAACCGCCTTTTACTAAATGTAGATAAAACTAAATTCATCCTGTTCCACAAACCAAATAAAGTTGATAAAATTCCACTTAAACTGCCAAATCTTTTATTCAATAAAACAGATGTAAAAAGGGAATCTACTGTTAATTTTTTAGGCGTAATTCTTGATGAAAATTTGTCATGGAAGTTTCACATCAAATCTATTGAAAGTAAAATCTCTTATAATATTTCCGTACTTTATAAAACAAAATCATTTTTAAACGCAAAAGCTCTAATGAAAATTTATTTTTCATTTATTCGCGGCTATCTTTCTTACTGCAATATTGCATGGGGAAGTACGAATTACGGAAAACTCAAAAAACTTTATAGTAAACAAAAGCATGCTTGTAGGATTGTATTTGGGGCAAACAGAACTGTTTATTGCGAACCACTATTGAATCGTCTAAAGGCCTGAAACATTTATAAATTAAACATTGACCAAACATTACTTTTCATGTTTAAAATGAAACATGGAATATCTCCACTTATATTTCAATCTTATTTTAGCGAAATATCTCATAAGTATCCAACAAAGTTTTCAGAGGATAACTTTATTGTTCCGAGAATAAATTTAAAAATAAGTTCTTATCAAATTAAATATCGAGGACCTTTTTTATGGAAAAATTTTATTAAAAACTTTTATAAAGAACACTACTCTTTAGAAAAATTTAAAGCAGTTTCTAAAAGAATCTTACTTCAATTAGATTTTAATTCAATAGACTTTAAGTATTTTTTTTAAAAGGAAATTTTAAAATAGAAACAAACGCTCCCATTATCATTAAATATATTTTGTTATATGTATCAAATATATTTGTATTAGTATACAAAACTTTCTTTACTTTTAAATTTTAATATAAATGTCATTTTATTATTTGACAAAAGTTATGTACTCTATAACGTTTTTTTGTATATTTTATTTATATTTGTTTATAAACACGGCCAATTTGTAAACGGGGCTCGGCGATAAGACAGTCATTGTCTTCTTCTTGCTCCGGCCAATTTTTATAAATGTAATATGTCTATATTGTAAATATATGAAACGGCAAAAAAAAAAAAAAAAAAAACTTACTATCGTTGATAACTTAAATCTCTTATTTCTCCGGTGGTTCGTTTCTATTTAATAATAAAAAAACAAAATAAGATTTAGAAGCTAAAATAATTTAGTAAAATTACGGTTTTAAAAAACAGCATTAAAAAAAAAATAGGAATATGTTTTTATTATTCAATGAGATATGTAAAATGAATAAAATTAAAAAATCATTAAAAATCGTATTACGATGCAAGTACCAAAGCTATTTAACAACTTTGGTACTTGTTGACTGTTTGCATCGTTACCGTAAATTTGGACAACCGTATTCGCGAGGTTCTTTAACCCGGTACATTAATAAAATGGTGAGATGTTGTCATTTTTTAGAAATTTCTTTATTTATCTGTTAATATCTCGGCGATCGCAAATATTTAAAAGTTGTGGTTATAGAAACGCTTCGTGAAATGACTTTTTTTATTGAAATAGGTTAATATTCCAAAAACCCGGAAGACCTTTTGCAAGGGAAAGAAATGCCGAAAACATACTTTGCATAAAGTAACTCAATACAAAGCAGGAAAGGCTTCTCTCTTTGCCCAAGGTAACTATAACTTTTAAAAGCTAATAGTTTTGCTTTCCCTTTTTTTTTTTTTTTTGCATTCAAATATCTGAACGTTGTTGTATTCAGATAGTAAGCAACATAACATTCGAAAATAGATAAACAGGTAAAAAATAATCAATAAATCAAATGACAATGCAGACGTTGCCAGTACATAGGCTTATAATTGATTTCTTTGAAAAAAATTTTAAAGGTTCATCTGGTGGTTTTGATTTATATTTGTTTAAAATCTAGTATTAGACATTTTTTCTGTGAGATATGATGATTCAGTTAGCAACTAATTTAATTAAAGTAATTAGAGTCTAAAGCCTAAAATGTTTTAAATTGCGTTTTGTAGTATATAATAAAAACCAAATATTTCATCTTTTTACAATATAGAATAATAATAAATTAAAAATAAGTACAAATTTCAGTTTGAAAAAGAGCTACATCGTATTCATAAAATACAATATATGCGATCAAAAAAACAAGAATTTTGAACCTCATTTACCATTATTCATATACAAGCATTAAGATAATCAGAGCTAGATGTTCATGTAAACTTTTAAAATTTATAAGCATCTACACCAAAAATCTGCCAATATTTGCCATTTAAAACACAAAGTTATGTGTAATTTTTTTCTAGCAGAAAAAAAAATTTATACTAAAGGAAGTACAAATTTCATCACAGTACAAATAAACCAGAGTAATCTAATCTGTATTCCAGTAAATACTAAAAAAAAGTATTTTTTTTTGGTAATGTTTGTTTCTGTTGACTACTGTCATAATATTAGTGTTTGTTAATCATTAGGGAAATAAAATTATATGTTAATTTAAAGTTCAATTTAGACAACAATTTATTGAAATTTTGTGATTGTATTATTGATGACATATCTTTATAATTATAATATATATTATAGTTGTACATATTTATATATTAGTTTATAATTGTATATAATATTTGTATATAACAATATATCTATATAGATTGTACAAAAACTGCTAGTATTATATTTAGCAGTTTTTCTGCATAAAAGACTGCTAGATATAATAGCAGTTTTATATATATATATCTAGCAGTTTTTATATACAGCAAAAAACATGTTAAACAATCAATGTTTGTTTAACATGTTTTTTGCAGTAAAAGCTACAGTTAAGCAGCTGAAAGTAACTTTATTATTTTTTTTTTTTTTTTTTTTTTGCTTGTTGTGCTCTGGTCAATGAAAACTTTTTAAACAAAGATATTTACTGGAATAATAATGAAAAAGATTGCCTCATGCTAAACCCTCAGTTGATGTAACAGCTAACTCCCTTGTTACATCAACTGAGGGTTTAATAATAAAAGCTATAAGAAACTAAAGAGAATAAACAGCAATACTCGAAGAAAAGAACCGATGACTATACAAAATAGAAAATCTAAATAAAATAAGCCATAAAATGGAAAATTAAAAAAAAAATTTTGATTTCTTATTTTTAGGGCGTTTGTTCTGCTACCAAAATTATTGATACAAGTCGAGGGAAAAAGTAGATATGAATATAACGAAAATAAAAATATTTTTTGATATACAAATTTTCGTGACTTTTTTCGGTCAGCATATTAAGGAAATACTTAATATTTTTGTGCTAGAAACATGGTTATTTGTTATATTCATGGTTATATTCTTAAATATATATATATATATTTTTGTTAAACTACTGTTTTTATCAATTCACAGGAAAGTGAGAGAAATAATTGCTATTTGTAAAAAAATATATATATAAAATTTTAAATGTAAAAAATAAAAAAAGTCATTAATACTAATATTTAAATATAACATATTTAGTTGTTTTCAATAGCCCCATTGAAATAATCTGCACTATTGTAGGATTATCCCAATTGTGTATTTAACCCTGATAGTTTATTTTCTGATGCACTATTAACCATGCTCCAGAAGCTTGTGGGCTAGTGCGTTGTACTGAACTATTTTAACATGTTTTGGAGCCTATTTAAAACTTTTTTTTAAACAGCAATTGTCATGTTCATTATCTCAAGTAATTTGTATTAACATTTGAAATCAGGGATTATAAAATAAACAAATTTTTAGACATGCATCTAATGGGGTAAATACATTTATTTTTTAAAAAAAATTCAAAAAGATCTACAAAACGAATAAATGTAAGGAAAAAAATTAACCCTTTAGCTACAGCTTGTGAGTCAGATAATTATAATAATTATTATTAAAATACTACTACTAATCACATCAATCTATGCACATTTAGCGGTGATCGCCTATTTTAAATAAAAGAAATAAATAAAGATATAAAGTACTTTTATATCTCAATTAAATCATATACAATATTTTTTTATAAATTAAATGCTCGTAACTTGCAAATATGTATACAAAATTAAAGATGAAGTTTAAAAATATATAAAAACTAATTTAAACTATTTTTTTGTTATTTTAAAACCAAACCAAAAAACTCTAAGTATTTAAAAAAAATTTTTTATTATTATTATTATTATTATTAATGTATTGATTTCTAATTAAAAACGTTTAAATATTTTTAAATAATTCCTTAAACTTTCCCTCTAAGCAAAAATCGATATTAATGTTTCATACAAATCTATGTGCTTAAGCATAATTTTTTATTAGTTAATTTTTAAATTTGTGCTCAAATTTTAGAACATTTAGTAATTTTTATTTTTTTTATTTATAATCCTTAAGCTACATAGTGTTTAAAAAAATAATGATATAAAATATCTAAGTTTTGACTGTTATTATTTTTGTAGTAGTAAATTTATTGTTTTGTTTTTCATTGAATTTTGTATGATATGATAAATTGACCGTTTCATTAAAACAGTGTTCACGATTTTGAATAAACTAAATTTAATGACCAGAATTATTTCAGGACATTGCAATTTGTGATTTTATATATATATATATATATATATATATATATATATATATATATATATATATATATATATATATATATATATATATATATATATATATATATATATATATATATATATATATATAAGAAAATGAAAACCTATCCAAAAACCATGTGTGTGGATCCATAAATGTAAAATATTTTTATAAATAGTTGCCTATTAAAAATAAAAGCTTTGTATATTTTTATAGATGTTCAGAAATTTTTTCAAAATTGATTTTTCTCCGTGGTATTTCCTGTCTATTCTTTACTCAATGGTTATTTTAGTCCTTATTTCTATCATAAATTTTTTTTTTTTTTTTAAGAAAAATTTCTTGAAAAAAAATTAAGTTGAATAGTTAATAAGCTATAATTTTATTTTTATGCATGTGTTGTGCTTTAAATTTTTTTAAATAGACGAGATGAAATGGTACTTTCCTAAAATTGACATTTTTAAGTAGAGTAGCACTGCATTTTAATAATTTTGTATTGATATGGTATTTTGTATTTATCTTTTTAAGGTAAACGCCGTTACGATAGAAAACAATCTGGTTATGGTGGTCAAACTAAGCCAGTGTTTCACAAAAAGGTTAGTTTAATTAAACTTTTTTAATTTCTAAATTTTTCTTTTTTTTTAATTAGGTCTATTTATTACTATAGTTATTTATGTTATTTAATAGTTGATTCTTTATAGGCGAAAACCACAAAGAAAATAGTACTTCGTATGGAGTGTACTGATTGTAAGTACAGGAAACAAATTCCTTTGAAACGATGCAAACACTTTGAACTAGGTGGTGACAAAAAGAGAAAGGTATACTTTATTTCTTATTTGTTTTTATTATTTAATTTTTTTTTTTTTCTTTTTTTCTTTTTTTTTTTGCAAATTGCACTTAAACTTATCAATTGCCTTATTATTCTTATTGTAATATTTTTTTTATTTCCTATTTTAGGGTCAAATGATTCAATTCTAAATAGAAAGAAGAATATCTAACTTATTTGTCTTTTTATTTTGGTTTTTATAAACATTAAAATCAACGCTGCATGACTTGTAACTATAAATAAAGTGTTCTAATTATTTCACTTTATATATTCATGTGTACGAGTGTCTTGAGAAAATATTTCTAAACAGTTCTGTCGATATTAAAAAAATGAAAGAACTTGATAAAATTAAAATAAAAAAATGATGAAATTGATAAAAAAAATTTTATCAAAAGGATTCAAAAAGAATCCTTTCGATAAAAAAACGAAAATTTATTTATAAAAAGGATTCTTTTTGAAAAATCTAGCAGATGTTTTGAATGCATTTATTGGACACTTTTAAGCGTAGGAAAAGTAATGATTTCAATCTATTTGCCGATACAATCAAATTTGCGAGTATTTTAAAATGATTAAGACAAATCCTTAATTGTGTTGCTGGGCAGCAGTGGGTAGCGCACTTGCCTTAAACACAAAGGATCCGTGGTTCAAAGCCAACCTTTTAGGCTAAATTTTGCGACAGGAAGGAGACGTGAACTTCCTTTGAATACCTTATCTGCGGTGCTCTGTTAATGATTTCTTGCCGCAATTAAATAAAAATTCCACTATCAAATGTTAAAACATTGTATTTTTTTAAAATAACTGCTTTTTTTGTACCAGAAGTTATGCGAGTTGTTGATATTTTGCTCAAAAATTCTGTTATACAATGATTGTTCAGTACTCCAGTAGTTTTGCAGTTGTCACAGATGTATCTTAATTCGTAAAAGTATGTTTAAAATCATACCCACCTGTTTTTTAAGTCAAGCGGAAATTCCGTCAATGTCACTCAGTGCCAATGCAACTCGTCATACATTACTTATATCCTATCCTTAACTAATAACAATATTTTCCAAATCAAAAAGTGTTTGAAAACATTTGGTATATTCTGTCATTAACTAATGACTAAATGATGAAAAAATGACATTAGGGTAATGACGCTTGTGATGCATTAGCAGTTTTGTATTTATAATGCTAGTAGCAACACTGACTTGCCATTTATAACAACGCCTTTTTGTTCCATGAAAACACTCCTTGTTCGGAGCTAAGACTTGGGATAAAATTCACAAACTAAATAATAAGTAATAAACTTTTTAATTTTAAAAGTAAGGTTATTGCTGATGCTCGGCTCAGTTAAGGCGAGTCAGTAAAATTTAGACTGACAATTCGATTAAAATTCCTAATTTTGACACTAACTTAGGTTTTAAATATAATTGAAATAAATTTTAATTCATTATTTTTTATGAAAATATATCTGCTTATGTTTTGTTTTTTTTTAAACATCTTCGCTTCCAACAAAGCTGCAAGCAACCACTAATTAGTGTTGGAAGTTACTGGAAAAGAAAAAATAAAGATTTTTTTTATTGTTATTTAGGTGCTCCAAGAAGACCTAACAGTTTTGTCTCAGAGCACCTTCCTTACCGTGACGCGAAAATGTGTCCAAACCTTGTTTCGAACCTGGATCTCCTGCTTATAAAGCAAGCGCTCTAACCATTGCGCCACGGCCGTACAAGATGGTAAAGCAAGATAATATTTTTATGTTTTTTTTTTTTTTTGTAAATATCTTTGCTTTCAACAAGGCTGCATGCATGCAACCACTAATTAGTGTTGGAAGTTACTGGAAGAGAAAAGATGAAGATTGTAGAGCAAGATAACGATTGACAGATGACTTATAAGATTGTAAATCATATGAATCTGGAAAGCAAGATGAAGGAAGCGAATTCCAAAAACTGATGTTCGAGAAAAAAAACTAGACGAATAAGAGTTTTTGGAGCACATAGGAACAGTCACAGAAAAGGATGAGACTTAATTGAATGACGAGTAACACAAGAATGAATTTTAGTAGATGGCACAAGAGACGCTAGCTTTTTAGAGAAGTGCCCATTATAGTATTTTTAGAAAAGAGAAAGGGAAACAACATTACGTCGATGTGATAATGGTTGAAGGTTGGCTACAAGAACAGGTCCTACTATGTTTCCATTGCGTTTTTGCACCTTGTCTAAAAGAGAAAGGACATCATTAGAAGATCCGCCCCAGATAAAGCAACAGTATTCCATACAAGGCCGGATTTGAGATTTATAGAGATAGAGAATAGAATCCAGATTAAGAAAGTGATAAGCTCGATAAAGAGAAGCGACTTAAGCAGATGCTAATTTTGCAACAGATATATGGTTTCCAAGAAAGATCAGAAGTAAAAGTTTTTTTTTATAATAGTCCTCTTTTCACAGGTATAATTCAGACTGATTTATCGGATCATTTTCCAACATTCTTAGCAACCAATAACATTTTAATTAACAATATTTCCACAAAATCCACAATATTTCGGCAACAGATCAATGAAAACTCCTTAAAGCATTTTAAATGCTGTTTAAAAAATAATGTTGATTGGAATTTAATTTTGCAATCAAGTGATGCTAACAATGCTTATAACTTGTTTCTTGGTCAATTTTGCAAGCAATATGAAATAGCGTTTCCAGAAAAAGAAATAATCATAAATACCAAATCACTTCAAAATCCCTGGATGTCAATAGGCTTACTAAAATCTTCAAAAAAGAAAGAAAAATTATATATAAAGTATCTTAAAAAAAAATCTTATAAAAATGAAATAACTTATAAAAATTACAAAAATATATTCGAAAAAATAAAAAGATACTCAAAAAAGCTTTATTATGCTCAGTTATTAAAAAAACACAACGAAAACACTAAAAAAGTATGGAATGTAATTAAGGATTTAATTGGAAAAAATAATTACAAAAAAAACGCTCTGCCAAAAAATCTTTTAATTAATGGAAAATTAGTTTATGATAAATCTATTATAGCTGAAGAACTAAACAACTACTTTGTCAATATTGGTCCGAAATTGGCTGCTAAAATTCCATCTAACTCCACTCCTTTTGATTCATACTTAAAAACTTATGACAAACTTATGGATGAAACTAGTTTAAAACTTAGCGAGCTGAGTGCTGCATTTAGCAGTCTCAAAAGTAAAAAAAGTGAAGGTTTTGATAAAATTAGTATTGATATTGTCAAATCAGTATTTGATATTATTGAACCTTCTTTATTTCATGTTTTTGATCTTTCATTTAAAACAGGTATTGTTCCTGACAAACTAAAAATTGCCTGTATAACACCAATTTTTAAATCTGGAGATTAGTCAAATATCTTAAACTACCGGCCTATATCCATACTACCTTGCTTTTCAAAATTGCTAGAGAAAATAATGTATAATAGGTTATATAATTATCTAACTGAGAACGACATGTTGTATTGCAAGCAATTTGGTTTTAAAAAAAAAAATTCCACAGAACATGCAATAGTTGAACTTTCTAATCAAATATCTAACGCCTTTAATAATGACTGTTTTACTTTAGGAGTTTTCATTGATCTGTCAAAAGCTTTTGATACCGTAAATCACAATATTCTAATAAAAAAACTTGAAAACTATGGAGTGAAAAATAAAAACTTACTTTGGTTCAAAGGGTATCTAACAAACCGGAGGCAATTTTTATATTATGATCAAAATAACACAGTTCCATATTCCATAACTTGCGGGGTTCCTCAGGGCTCAATTTTAGGACCACTCTTATTTCTATTGTACATAAATGACTTATACCTAGCAACAAATCTTTTAGACCTAATTTTGTTTGCTGATGATTCCAATCTTTTTTATTCTCACAGAGACATTAAAACACTTTTTAAAATAGTTAATGAACAGTTATGTAAAGTTAATGAATGGTTCGTAAGTAACAAACTTTCATTAAATGTGGATAAAACAAAATATATACTCTTCCATAAAGTAAATAAATCAGAAAACATACCTATAAAATTACCAAATCTTATAATTAATAATACTTATATTAAAAGGGAAACAAACGTAAACTTTTTAGGAGTAAAACTGGATGAAAATTTACTGTGGTATTCTCATATAAATAGTATTGAAACAACACTCTCAAAAAATATCGCAATGATTTATAAGGCTAAACCTTTTCTAAATGTAGCATCCCTGAAAAAATTGTATTTTGCCTTTATTCACAGCTATTTGTCTTACTGTAATATTGTGTGGGCTAGTACTGGCTATACAAAACTTAAGAAAATCTACAACAAACAAAAACATGCATGCAGAATAGTGTTTGGAGCCTGCAGAAATACTCCTTGCGAACCACTTTTACGTGCACTCGGTGCTTTAAATGTGTATAAACTCAATTTACACCAAGTTTTATTGTTTATGTTTAAAACAAAAATGGGATTGTCCCCAATAATTTTTCAAACCTATTTTAATAAAATTAATCATAAATATTCAACAAAGTTTTCTGATAACAACTTTGTTCTTCGCAAGTATAATTTAAAATTAACCTTTTATTCAATAAAATATCGCGGACCTTATCTGTGGAAAAAATTCCCAGAGATTGTCAACAAAAACAAGACTACATTAGAACAATTTAAAAATGAATCAAAACAATTATTACTATTCAGGGATCTTAATTTATCTGACTTCAAATGTTTCTTTTAAAATTTAATCAAATAAAAACAAATTTATTTATATCAATCAAATTTAAGTAATGATGTTAAAAATTCATCTTGTGATAATGTTAATTATGAAATTTTATTCTTATTTAAAACTTTTTGTTTAAATGATTTTAAAACATTTTAGCGGTTGCTAGCATTTCGACAATTCTTAGTTATTTGCTATTTTGAATTTCTTAATTTTCTCAGTTACTTTCTGTTTTAATTCTTACCTATATTTTATATATTTATATTATATACATTTGTATGTTACGGTTATGTAGAGTTTTTTTTTCATGTAGAGTTTTTTTTTTATATGTGGGGCTCGGCGATAAGGCAAAATGTGCCTTCTTCTTGCTCCTGCCATTAGTTTTGATATATGTATATGCAATGTAAACATTCTTTAACGGCGAAATAAATTACACTTGAGTTAATTTACAATTAAGTTTCATCTGAATTAAAGTTCACCAACCACTGTGAG